CTGCTTGGCTTCTCCAGTTCGTGGGAGAGCTAGCTGTCAGCAGCCTGTGTAGCCCAGGAAGAAGGCTTCCCTCCCCACCACCCCGGCATCCACATATCAATTCCAGGGAAAGAGTTGGATTGGTTCTGCTTGGGTAGTGTGCCCACCCCTTGGGTCAATCACTGGTGCCAGAGGATGAGGTTCTATGATAGGTGCAGTTGGGGTCACCTGCTGACAATGGGGTAGGATAAGTGAGCACTGCAATGGACAACCCACTAGGTTTCTGTGACAACGAGGGAAATTTCCCAAAGGAAAGGGATGCCAGAAGTGGGATGATGGAAAACAGGCTAAGAGATAAAAGTCACTAACTGTCACAGTCCACTACACTGGTCCATGCGAGAGACAATCGCAGACATGACACAGACACCATCTCGGGGCAGTCAGAGCCTCACAAAGAAATAAGGCTTACAGACACAAAGCTGTTAATAAGAGCTGATAGCAGCTATCATCCATGGAGCACCTACCAGGTACCAGGCATTGGGCCAAGTGCTTCCACATGCATTATTTTATTCCAAGCTCACAATAACCCTGGAAAGCAGGTACTATTATCATCCCTATTTTTCTGAGTCAAAGAGACATTAGAAAACAACTCCCCCCGCCTTTTTTTGGCAAGGCAGCCAATATAGGGAAAAATAAAAATGTTTATGGGCTCCTTATCCCCGCTCAGAGAGGTTAAGTGACTTGCCCAAGGTCACACAGCTAACACATTAAATGAACATGCTGGGAAACATTTGGTTAAGGGTCAAAAGAGTGCTTCTGTTTCTCTCTGCCAGCTAAGGACTAGGGAAGGCTGTCTGTAAGTGGCAGGGGGAGGGAGTGTGGATCTAAGCAGAAATCTGAAGGATAGGACATCTGGGCAAGTGGCCAAGGAGGTTGAAGGGAAGAAAGAATGGGTCAGTCTCCAAACACTAAGGAAGGCAGGCCTGAGTACCACCCAGAACCTAGTTATTCCCTCTCACCTGTGGTAGCCCTTTGGAGATTTATAATCAGAGACATCTGACAGTCCTCTTCTCTAGTCTGCTCTGACCAGCCTGCCCCTTCTTCAGAGGACATATACACCGGCCCTGCTGCTTCTCCATTCTGGCTGCCCTCTTGGGGATCCACCCAGTGGATGGGGGTCCTAGATATTTGATCCACAGAGGGAGCAGAAGAAATGTCACCTCCCTTTTTCTAAATAACTTACTTCTATTAATGAGACCCCAAATCAAGTAGGTATTAAGCAGTCCCATCTTAGCCTCTGAAACCAAGCTCACTGTCTCCTAACAACTCCCAGTTCAACACATCTCCCCCATTATGGACGTGCACAGATGGTCCCGTGGACCTAAGGCTAGAAACTCCTTCTATTTCCTCAGGCTCGGCCCATTTTTGATGCTGGCTATCCTTAGCATCATAGCTTCTGTGAAAATGGTTGGTGGGACTATCGGATTCCACTTCTGTGTGGTGCATAGAGTAGTCACATTCATGGACACAGAAAACAGAATGGTGTTTGCCAGGGGCTGGGGGGACAAAGAATGGGCAGCTCTCATTTGCTGGATTCAGTTTCAGTTTTTCAAGATGAAAGGAGTTCTAGAGATGGATGGTGGTGGTGGTTGCCCAACAGTGTGAATGCACTTAATACCACTGAACTGCCCACTTAAAAATAGTTAAGAAGGTAAATTTTATGTGTATTTTATCACAATTTTTTTTAAAAGTGATGATTTTGGTGGGGCCTCTGGTTTCCCCACATCCCCAGGAGGATATCTCCTCCACCCCAGGCACCTGGATCCCCACCCTCGCGGCTTCTGGAGGACCCAGGGCCTCCAGAAGACCCCTGTTCACACCCCTCTGAGAGAGCTTGGAGAACAAGTGAAACCATTAGTACCCTCAGCACACCGCTGGCCCCGGAATTCCGTCCCCCCGTGGGCCAGCCTCAAAACCGCCACCCAGCCCCATCTCCCTTGACTCTTCCTCCCCTCTAGTTCCAGATCTCTACCTCCCTGTCAACTGAATTTTTGACAGTGTCACTTAGACTCACTTCTATTCCTCACTAACCATTCAGCACCCAATGCCCAACTGCCACCTTTCTTCTCCTCCCTCCCCCCGCCCCCCACCCAAAAAAAAGCATGCTCTGGCCACATCACTGGTGATCTCCTAAGTCCCAAGGCCAGGGGGCACTTTGCATTCCTTCTCTCCCAGTAGCTCTGCGCAGCCTTTGACGTGGCTGAGCATGCCTTCCTCCAAACCCTGTCCTCCTGGGCCTGCAAGATGCCCTATTCTCTTGGTTCTTCTACCTCCCTGACCGTTCCTGCTCCATCTCACTCAGGGACTCTCTTCGAAAGTTCCAGCCCAGACTTCCTGCTTTTGGTACTAGTCTACACAATCATCCTGCTTAATCTCATCCTCTCGAATGACGGATGATTCAATTTAAAAAAAAAAAAAAAACACCTCTCAAGGCCAGGCATAGATCCATATAATCAACTGTCCTCAGGGTACCTCCCCGTGTCCCAAACTGGACTCCTCATCTTCACCCCAGACCTGTTCTTCCCCACTGTTCGCTAACAAAACTGCCGACACAATCATCTGCCCAGTCTCCCAAGCAGTAAGCCATAGGCCGTAAGAGGCATCCTGGACTCTCCCTCCCTCTCAAAGTTCAGCCTGTCTCTAAGTCCCATCTTATTCTCCTAAATTCTTTCTCAAACCTTCCTCTCCTCTCCATCTCTGCTCCCACTCCAGCCTCACCCGCTCTCAGCTGGATTCTTGCAACAGCCTCCTAACCGGTCCCCTCCCTGTGGCCTAGCCCTCTGCTCCCCCACCCACAACGCCACAGAAGAATCTCCTGAGAAGGCAAGCAAGACCAGGTTCCTCTCTGACATCATCGCTCCCCTCTGCTCCAGGAGAAAATCCTAGCGCCTAACTGTGGCCTCCAAGCCTCTCCAGGATCTGGTCTCCCTCTAATCCACTTTCCACAGAGCTGTCAAATACGTATCTCCCAAGGGCACAGTTGGCTCAGACTCCCTCTCCCCTCACTTCTGCCTCTGAGTCTCTGCTCTAACCCTTCCCCACCCCACCCCCACCCCCAGTGCTCATCCCCACCTCCCCCACACTGACAGTCACCTGAGTAACTCCTACTTCTCCTTCCAGAAGCAGCTCAAGGTTTCCCTCCTGGGAGAGCCTGCCAGCCCCTGACCTGGGTTGCTCCCCGCCCTCCCCAATCCCTTACCACTTCTTCTAGAACTTGCCCTTGTCCTGCAATTTACTGCCCCAACTTCGCCAGGAGCTGTGAGCTTCCTAAAATGCTGCCTTTCCTTCCTGAGACCCCAGAGTCTAGCATGGGGTCTGGCACACAGAAGGTGCTGAATAAATGTTGAGTAAGTGGATGAGTAACTGAAGAAATGATCTATATCTAACGCATACCTCTCACCAGAGCCTCCAACTTCCAGCTCTACCTAGCCCAGAGCCTGGCACACAGTAGGTGCTCAGTGAAGAGTGTCTTTATTCTATTTTCTGAATTAATCTGCTTCAAAGCAAGGTCTGGGGTAGGTTGAGATATGATAAGGGGAGAGGGATGGGAAAACTTAGCCAAAAGAGACGCTTGGGGGGCACCGCAGTGGGGGAAGGGGCAATCGGGGTGCCTGGAAAGGCGGGAAGAACTAAGTCCTCAGACCGCTGTCCCTCCGCGCCCCGAGTCGGCCGGAGTCCCGCCGGGCTTAGCGCGCCTCCAGCCCCCCGCAGGCGCAGCACCCTCGCGGTCGACCGGCAGCTGAGACCCCGGGCTCGCGCGCTCGGCGCTCGGCGCTGGGCGGCGTGCGTGTCGCTTTAAAAGCTCCCTCCCGGCGCGCGGGGCCGGCCCCTTCTCTGACAGCGCCGAGCGAGCGGAGCCGAGCGAGCCGGGCGGCCTTTGAGGGAGCCAGCGCCCGCCCGG